TATCTAATATCAGATATTTTGAAAGTTTAAAAAAATTGCCGTATCACGTAATTCAAATTTCAATCAATAAATAAGATAAAAATTTACTATAAAATTAAAAAATTGTAGAATTACAATTTATTTGAAAAAAAAAAAGTCTTCTTTTATTAAGAATGGCGAGTTCCGGATATGCCGGAAAATGTTCATTGGAAAACGGATGATAATAGCATAACATTATGGTGGGATCCACCATTAACAGCTGATGAAATTTTGGTTCGTGGTTATACAATATCGTATGGTATCGGAGCACCAAATCAACGTGTAATCATTGAAGGAGCTAATACCAATTCTTTCACAATTAATAAACTTAGTTAGCAAATGTTAAATTTGTTAAATTTTCTTCCTCAATATTTAATATAAATGTTTACTTGTTTAAAGTTAGCACGAAATTTTTACCTTTCAATTTATTATTCTTATTGAAATTTGCTTAATAATAATTACGTTTGGATGAAATTTTTACAATCAACTTCAGACATCTTTAAATTCAAATTAAAATGAAGTTTTTTCTTTAATTTTTGCAATTATACAATATAAAATTGGATTCACATTTTTTAATTTCTTTTTTTTTTTTCAGAATCAAACACAACATATGTTTTTGCGTTAACAGCATACAATGAAGCGGATGGTGAAGATTCGGAAAAAGTTCTTTTCACTGCTACCACTGAAGTTGGAAAGAATTCAGGTAAAGTTTTAAAATGTGCAAATAATTCTTTAAAAAAAAAATAAAGCTTTGTTAAAATTTTTTAAGAAAGTGAACGAAATTAAAAAAATTTGCAGCATAAATTTATTGATGTGTATAATATGTACTTTATGAATTAATGAGGACATTAATTAGTCTAAAGAGTTAATGAGCATTTTTAAAAATAATTCAACAGACAAGGCGACAATCCATTTTCGGTTAATAATTTATAAAGCTAATATTTTAAGTGAAACACTTCAATTGTGATTATTAGCCATTTAATCATTTATCCAATTAGCAATATGAAAAAAATAATAATTGTTATGCAAAAAAATAATTTGAAGCATTGGGAATTTTATTATCATAAGTTCATATTTTTCATAGAAATAAATCAAACTAAAAATTTTGAATTAATAATGACTTTAAAAAAAAAAAAGAAAAGAACAAATAAACTTCAGATGAACAATTAATCGATTTGCAAGCACCAACAAATATTCAAGCAAAATCTATTTCACCAACTGAAATTGCAATACAATGGACTGATCCAAATGTTCATATTTATTACAATCATCCGTCTGAAATAATTAAATCATTATTTCGAAAACGAAAATATGTAATACAGTATGTAATTTTAATTCATTTTTTTTAAAAAATTTGAAATTTTTACATTTGTAAAATTAGACTAATTATCTTGATAGATCTATAATTATTTTATCAAAATAATTAATTAATCTTATATGGTAATAATATGTACAATATAAAATTCATTTTTAACTTCAATTTGAATCATTTTTGTTTATTATTTTGTACCGTATACGTGGTACTGTATTTATGGTAATTTTTTGATTGTTTTAGATACGGTGAATATCAATCGTTGAATTTAGAAAAAGTAACATCAACAGTATCATATGTGCTTCTTAACAATTTGCAACCAGCAACAGACTACGTAATTATCATTAAAGTAATTTTACCAAATGGGATCGAATCAGCATGGACTATTAGAGAAGTTATTCGAACACCATCAAATGGTAGGAAAAAATTTTTGTTAAAATTTTGCATCATTAAAATGCCAAGTAATTTTTAAAATATTATGCATTTTAAAAAAGAAAATTTTAAATTCAAGTGACATTAATGAATGGATCAGAGCTGTTTGAACTTCGATTCGGTTTTGAGCAATCGGAAAAATGTTTTTTCTATTCCGATCCAACAGCTCCACTCCAATGGAAAATGATTGAAGGGAAAAGTAACCGTGCACTAAAAAATCGATTGGGTATGTAAAGTGTTTATTAAGTTTATGATTGAAAAAATGAAATTTGAAATTAAATTGAATCAGGATTAAGAATATATTTAAATATAGTTAAATATAACACGGATTATATTTAATATGGTTAGATTCTATTGAAATTCTTAAGGTACAAATAAATTAAATTTTATTCTTTTTTTAAAATTAAACATATAAAACAAAGATAAATAAAATATTTATAACATTTAATAATACTTAATATTGCGAAAGATTTAACAATAAGTGAACATAATACCGAATTTTAAACTTATTTTGGAATTTTTATAGCAAAACATTTTGTAAGCCTACAATCAACGATATTTGATGAGAATTATGGCCAATTAATATCGTCACCAATCATTCTTAATGATAATAATTATTGTCTAAGCATATGGATCTATGTTAGACAATTCAGCAAAGGTTTGCACTAATCTACAACATTCTTGAAATTAATAGAATATTTTAAATCACTCAAATGTTCAATATAAGCAAAAATATTTAAAATTAGTTGTAAAAAAAAAAAAACATTTTTTTTTTTGATTTGAAAATTTTCACCTATTAAATCAGCTGTATTCCTGTATTAAGTTATTTTTTTGAAGAAAAAAAAAACAACAGTAAGCAGTGTTTTGATAGTTAATCTTGCCAATATTTTTTTTTTCTAAATCTTGCCAAAACTTTTTTAAAATAATGAGTTAAAATTAAAATTTTGTACAAATTTGTTAGTTTTTAAACAAAAATAAATTCCACAAAAATTTGAAAATTTTCCTACAATTAAAAATTTAATAAATATGACATTAACAGTATGATTATATTTTATTAGAATATGATATCTTTAGGAATAATCACAGTTGGATTATTACGCAAAGCAGAGAATTACAATGCTGGCAACAGTTTACTGATAGGAAAATTAGAAGAAGTGCCAAAAGAGCAATGGAACCACTTGCTCATGGATTTTATCAATTCATATGATCTATTTAAGGTTTAATTCATCACTATGGAAAAGATTACATTAATGAATTGTGTTGCAAATAATTTTACTTCCTTTTAAAATTTTGCTGTATTTGCCACATATCTTAAATAATAATAACGATAATAATGATAATAACAGTAACAACAATAATA